GCTGCTCTTCCAGAGATCCTGAGTTCAATTCCCAGAAACCACATGGTGGCTCACAACCATCTGTTATGAGATCTGGTGCCCTCTTCTGGTGTGCAGATATACATGGAAGCAGAATGTTGTATACATAATAAATAAATAAAATCTTAAAAAAAAAGAAGTATAGGTAGAATAAACCCTGTTCTTCCCAACTTGCTTTTGATTAAGGTGTTTGATCACAGCAATAAAAACCCTACGACAGTCACCATGCCTGGCTTAGTGTGTTGATTGTACACATTCTGGCTACACCCCAGGGCCTTCTCAGTTACCTGCAGCACCCTCAGGCCCTGCCCTTCACTGAACGACTTCTGCACCTCATCTGCTTCTTTACACAGTGACTTCTTCTCGGTGTCCTGTGCACCTGCTCTGGCTTCCCGACCAGGGAGCTGACAGAACTCTGCAGTCCTACAATCTCCCTCCCCGCCCCCCAACATACCTCCTGCCCTTCCCGCCTTCACACTTGACCTCATGACTGCCATCTGCCTTGCTCTCCACCAAAGAGCCCATGGACCTGGGGCAGCTATGGGAGGACACCCATGGGAAGCACTGCCACCCCCCCAGCTGGCGCCCTATGGGTGATGCTCCATAGGTCAGCTTCCTCCTCTAGGAAGTTCTCCTGAGGGTGCAACTGTTAGAACAAGAAGACCAGAGCCAGGCATTGGTGGCACACGCCTTCAATCCCAGCACTTGGGAGGCAGAGGCAGGTGGGTCGTGAGTTCAAGGCCAGCCTGGTCTCCAGGACAGGCTCCAAAGCTACCCAGAGAAACCCTGTCTCGAAAAACCAAAAAGAAGTGACCAGAGCGGGAGTTGTGAGGGGTACCATCCTAGCAGTATTTGAGAGTTCTCCAGAGAGACTCTGGGAACTGAGGGGTGCGAAGAAGCAGTTCTAATGGGGCGGCAGGGTGTGATGTGAGAGTATCTTACTTTTCCAAGAAGCAAAGGGAAGGAAGGGTTGGTTTTGGTCTTTTATGGGGAAGACTGCATGTAAACACAGAGGGCTGTCAGGCTCTATTGCTCCCAGAGGCGGGACTGGATTTAGTCAGCTGAGGAACACTAAAGAGTAACCCCCTTGAACTTACACCTGAAACTTCAGCACTGGACACTCTGTAGTGTGTGATCCTAAACATGGGATCAGGGCCTTGTATACGCTGGGCCAGCATTCCACGACTGAACCACACCACAGGCCAACACATGACCTAGTAGAAGCAGGGTTTTGGGGGTACGTTAGTTAAGCTGAGGTCATGTTGGACTAAGGCACACCCTAAACCCAAAGGCTAGTGTCTTGGAAGAAGGTAAGAGGAAGGCTGGAGAGATGGCTCAGTGGTTAAGAGCATGGCTACTCTTGTAGAGGACCCAGGTTTGGTTCCCAGCACCCATGTGGCAGCTCACAACCATTGGAAACTCCAGTTCCAGGGGACCCGATGCTTCTTCTGACCTCCACGGGCACTGCACACACATGGTACACAGATATACACTCGCACACACACACACACACACACACACACACACACACACAAATAAATTAAATGGGCTTCTAATTAAATCGTATCTCCGCATACTACCTTCATGGCTGAGCCATGCATGCCAAGATCATGCTCTCCCCCAAAGCTACTCTCAACTCATTTCTGTTGCTTTCAGGCACCTGGCTTGTAAGAACCTGTCAATCACCCTAGGGAACTAATACATTCAGCCCCCAGGCAGAGCCCTCCAACAACTGAAAAAGCACCTGTGCTGGGGGGAAGAGACGCTCATGAATGGAAAGCCATGGGGGAGGGTGGTAGCTGGAGTGCGAACCTGGCAGAGGCCTCTGCTGTCCTAACTTCACCAGGTACATAGATAGGCCTTCTCAGACCTTTAGGTGTCCAGCCTTCAACAAACTGGAGCACAGGGCCCTGAGGATGTTTCTGGTGAGAATTGGAAGCCTGACCTAATCCTGAGCCAGGCCGTGCAGCAGCTGGTCAGTTTGGGTCTGCTTTTATTTTCCCAGAATCCTCTCCTCCAAAGGTCAGCAGGCTTCAAATAGACTGCTGGTCTCCCCATGTGGCTGTTCCACACCCAGGTCACTCAGGAAGCGTAGGGGATGGGTCCTCCCTGAAGGAAGGCACAGCCCTCACAGCCTGCCTTGGAGAGCATGTGAGCTGTGTGTATGCTCACTTCCCCTCTCCACACTCATGGGCCACACCTGCTGTACCCATCCATGCCTGGCACCCACAAAGCTTGGCACATGCTGGATGCATGAAAGAGGGAGGAGGAAGCAGGAGGAATCCCTTCATGTTCCTTTTCCCTTCTTCTGTGGTACTGGGGATTAAACTCATTTCACAATGTGAGCCAAGCACTCTACTATGGAGCTACACTCCCTGTTCTTGTCACTCTTTATATCCATGGTTGACAGCATGGAGATCAAACATTTGCTTATGATGATGATGGGGGGGGAGAGGGAGGGAAGGAGGTTGAGAGAGGGGGACAGAGAGAGAGGATTTTTAGTCTGCCCTGTGGAGATAGTTTTTCCATCCACAGTGAACTTCTTAAATTTTCTACTGACAGGCAGTGATGGCACACACCTTTAGTCCCAGCGACTGGGCGGCAGAGGCAGAGAATCTCTGAGCTCTGGAGCAGCCTGGTCTATGAGCTCCAGGACAACCAGGGCTCCACAGAGAAACCATGCCTCAAACCAACAAATAAGCAAAGGAAAAGTGTTCTTTTTCTCTTTTTTTGGTTTTTCAAGACAGGGTTTCTCTGTGGCTTTGGAGGCTGTCCTGGAACTAGCTCTTGTAGACCAGGCTGGCCTCAAACTCACAGAGATCCACCTGCCTCTGCCTCCTGCTGGGATTAAAGGCATGCACCACCAACGCCGAACTGGAAAATTGTTTTTCTGCTAGCACACAGTGTCCATAGCAGATTCCCACTCTCCTCAGGCATTCCCAAGCTTCTCTTACTCAAGTACTTGGACTCAGGACAGAAGAAAGCGCTGTGTACTACAAGATGTCATCTGGAGGGAACCCAAGGTTACTATGTCCATTCCTGCTGAACTACAAGACCAGCTTGTGTCCAGCTCCGACAGACTCCTTACCGTACATCTTGCCTTCGTCCGACAGGATGATTTTGCGACGGCCACAGGGTGGGTAAATGGCCAGTGCCTCCTGGAAGCTTTGCTCAATATCTGGGCTCCAAACGCCCTCTGCATCATTGTCGATGGGCTTGTCCAGTGCCTGGCTGCCCCCAGAGATGTTGCTCCCCTCGGGGGAGTCGGGAGAGCTCCACTCGTTGGAGGTAATGGTGCCGGCCTTGCCCTCCAAGGCTCGGCTTGGAGGAGCGCCCGTTGGACCTGGTAGAGCCAAAACAAGGTAAAAAGGTAAGAGGCGAAAGGACGTCGAAGGCTGCAGGACACGGGACACACAGAGTGCTCCAGTATCAGACTGGTTACTCAGGAAACAAAGTGAAAAGTCTGGGGGTGTGGTGGGGGAGGGGAGGACCGTGGGGGTTCAGGAGTCAGGGAGGCTTGAACAGGTTGTTTTCCCTCAACAGAACAGTCCGATGAGCACAAAAGACCCTCTGATTAGACCTCTAAGGCTGGGAAGTAGGAGACAAAGACATAGTGACAGATTTAGTCTGACACCAAACAAACTCTGGGCAAAAAGGACCTTAAATATTATAGAGGAGGTGAAACTGCAAACACCATGGAAACAGTATGCAAAATCCTCAAAAAATTAAAGTGAAGGTCAGGGGATGGAGCCCACTGACAGAGGGTTTATTGAGCATGCTTGAGTAGTTCTATCTTTAGCACTACCAATAAATAATAATAATAATAATAATAATAATAATAATGTGATCCTGGTCGGGCATTGGTGGTGCACGTCTTTAATCCCAGCAGAGGCAGGGGGATCTCTGTGAGTTCGAGGCCAGCCTGGTCTCCAGAGCGAGTGCCAGGACAGCCTCGAAAGCTACACAGTGAAACCCTGTCTCGAAAAACCAATAATAATAATAATAATAATAATAATAATAATAATAGTGTGATCCACTAATCCTGCTTCTTGGCACACACCCAAAAGAACTGAAAGCAGGAACTCCAAAAGACATCTGTACACGAATGTTCATAGCAGCGCTATTCACAACAGCCAAAAAAAGGAGAGTTCCTGCTTTCATCCCTCCATGAGTACAGAATGAGGTGTGGGTATACGATGGACTGCTATTAGCACTAAAAAGGAAGGTAACCCTATCACAGGCTGTGACATGGATGGGCGCTGATATTATATTAAGTAAAACAAGCCAGTCACAGAAAAAAAGACAGTGAGTACGGGTACACACATAGAAGGTGATGCACATTCTTACAGATATGAAGGTTGCCAGGGGTTGGGGGAGGGAGGGCTGTTGTCTAACAGATACAGGCTGTTCAGCTCTTAAGCTCCAAACTTGGGGTGCAAAATCTGAACTCTTCAACAGGCCTGGCAGCCCTAAAGATGAAGATTAATATCTGACAGTGATTAATTAACCTTCTAATGCATAATGCCCCATTAATTTTGGTGTTGGACTTCATTTTCTCCGTGGGCCTAACATAAGCACAGCTCATACACTCTGAGCTGGGCCTAGGGCAACATGAAGAGGAGGGCTAGCCCCGTATCACCTTTCATGATGGCCCCACCCCCACCACGTGCCAGAGGAGGTAGTCTTTGGGCCCTGCCTCTCTTCAACATTGCCCTTCCCTACACTGCAAAGTTGGGACCAAGACAGCCCAGAAGAACAGGCCTGGGCGAACTAGAGACCATCTGTGCCAGACTGCCCCATGGGAGAGGTTTTCTGAGGACCTGCACTCCATGTTCCCAAGATTGGGACTGTCCCAGAGAAAGTGGGGCAGCAGGTCACACAAGGCCCTAGGACATGGGATTCATTACTGCAGTGAGCTGTCCCTGGCCCTGTGTGGCTGTGGTGCTCCTGGTCCCTGGTCGTGACTGGCTGGCCACTCCTACCCTTCCTTACTAGGCAAACTGCCCACACAAGCCTGCCCTGTGGCCAGAAAAATGGGGTAAGTCAGCCTCAGCTCAGAGATGTTCCTCCTGCTCCTCCCCCAAGTGACCCTCCAGGGGAGTGGTGGGGTGGGAAACAGATGGCACCGCTGCCCAGACCATGTGCTATGGCCAGAGATATAAAAATAATCCCTGACTTGGCTCTCAGGCCCAGCCTGGAGGCTTCTAGCTCTCTCTGCCCCACCCAAAAGCCACCAGATGTCCTACTTGAGACAACCAGGCCCAAAGAACACTGCACTCTACACCAAGGCCCACAGGTGCTGGCCGTAGGGGACATTTGAGAAGATTCAGGAACTGGGATTGTGTCTGGATCTTCCTAAGGCTCAGAACCCTACGCTCTTCCAGAAACAGAAGAGTGAAGATCCGCAAGTGATTCACAGAGAAGCCACGGCTGCGGGGCACCGTTTGGGTAGAGAGGAGTGTGGCTTGACTGAGAAGGCAACCAAATCCGACTGCTGGGGGCTGGGGTTGCAGCTGTGCCGTAGAACATTTGCCAGCCCAGCCCTCGGACCCTGAGACCTCTCGGTGTCTGGTCCATCTCCCACACAACCTCACTCCCCCAGCCACCAAAGCACACAGTACACAATGTTGCTGTGACAGGCTGGGCCTAGGCTGTCTCACTTGAGCTTGCCTGTTCCCCCAACTGGAGAACACGATTATCACCCAGACATTAGTGTCTGTCCTGTTGCTGGATGGGTGCAGGTAGGAACGCAGGCAGGCAGGCAGCATTACCGTTAATGAGTTGACGCTGCCAAAGGCTCCCTTTGTTTCAGGCCAGGACAAATAACACTACTATTTCACAACAGAGATGTTCTTCCACATACAATGGGATACCATTCTGGTAAACTTACTAGTCAGTTAATAATACCCTAATGCAGAAGGGAAAGGTGATGCATGCCTGTATCTGAGATTCCAGACGCTGAGGCAGGAGGATCATGAGATTGAGAGCATTTCAGTAACCTTCATACTGACTTCCACAGTGGCTGCGACAAGCTCCGCTTCTACCAACAGTGAAGAGCCGTTCCCATGTCCACACCCTCACCAGCACCTACAGTCCTCTGACTTTTGGATGACAGCCTTTCTGAGTGGGGTGAGACGCACTCTCAAAGCAGTTTTAATTTCTATTTCCCTGGTAGTTACTGACATAAAACATTTTTCTCAGATTTTATGTTATGTCTAGCAGTGTTATGCCTGGATGTATGGTATGTGTATAACATGTGTGTCCGGTCCCTGCAAAGGTCAGAAAAGGATGGTGGAGCCACAGAACCAGAATAACAGGTGGTTGTGAGCTGCCATGTGGGTGTCAGGAACTGAACCCAGACCCTCGGCAAGAGCGGCCAGTGCTCTTAACTGCTGAGCCACCTCTCCAGTCCTTCAATGGGATATGCTGTTTTTTAAACTAGAGTACTGACATTAGGGTTTCACTGTGTAGCCCTGGCTAGCCTAAAACTCTCTATGTAGATCAGGCTGGCCTCAAACGCATAATGATCTTCTTGCCTTGATGCCCAACGGCTGGCTAAATGAAAGGCTTGCGCCTGTGCACTCTGCCGACATACTTTTACACTATGGCTCTGTATATCCCATGAAATATACTTTTAATTACCTGCGTCAAAGCAATGCTGGCAACCCCATGACCATGTGGCTGGTTGGGCACTCTGGCTCACTGCTGCTGCCCCACACGGCAAAAACATACTGTTTATCATTAGCTGGGAAAACAGTAAAATTTCTACTGAATGTGCATCACTTCCACACTGTAATACAGAAAGATCACAAGTTGACCTTCGTACACTGGGAGCTGTCTGTGCAGATAACTCATGGGGATGTCAATATGTCATCTGTAACCAACTCCCACGGTCCCCAATCCAAACAGGACGTGATAGAAATTGAAACTCAAAATGTTTACAAGACATGCCTGGTGTTACACAGAAATGACGAAAGAAGTCGGGCCACTCTGAACACAAGGACAGAAACGGTTCCCTCTCCAGGCACTGACTCTAAGAGCTTTGGAGGTGTAGGTCAAAGGTCCAGTCTCACCAAGACCACCCTCATTGCCTGTGGGCTGTGATATTGGTTGGTGACTAGAACAGCCTCTGCATTGCAGTGACCGACCTGTGACTGAAGCTAGGAGGGAAAAGAAAACCTGAGGTTTCCTTCCGGGAGATCCACCCTAACCTAAGGACATATGAGGTGACACAGTGGCTACAGTCATTCACGGTGGGGACAAGTTGGGAATCCCCTTCAGCACAGGGATTCTCCAGGCTGGCAGAACTCCCAATGTGGTTTGATGACCCAGAAAAGAGATAACAAATCTGAACCCCAGATACTCTGCCCTGATCTAATCCTGCTGTGGCCACAGAGACACTGTTTAGGACAGGCCTGGCCCCACCTAGTACAATGGCTCCTGGCTATGACCTAGCCCTGGCTATTCCTACCAGACTGGGCTGTAGAGAGACTGAGCCCACGCCACAGTCCACACTCACCCACAGGTATGACAAAAACTATAAAGCACAAGGACAAGAAGGCCCTGGAAACATCCAAAGAGCAGGGTAGGGAGGGGCTATGAGCCCGCCCTACTCTGACCTCATCTCCAAAAGGAAAGAAAATTAGGCAACGCATGCTGACTCACACCTGTAATTCCAGCACTCTGGAGGCAGAGGCAGGAAGATCACAAGTTCAAAGCCAGCCTGGGGCTACGTAGTGTGTTCCAGGTCACCCACAGATACAGAGTGAGACCATGTCTCATAAGTAAACAAACAAATAAATAATTGGCTGGGCATTAGTGGCAAATGTCTTTAATCCCAACATTCAGATGACAGATGCAGGTGGATCTCTGTGAGTTCAAGGCCAGCCTGGTCTACAAAGAGAGGTCCAGGAAAGCCAAAGCTACATGCAGAGAAACCCTGTCTTGGAAAAAAAAATAAAAAATTAACCAACATAGTGATGAGTGGTGCAGGTTGGTAACCCCAGCACTGAGGAAGCTGAAGCAGGAGCGCTGCCACAGGTTCAAAAGCAGGGTAGGCTACGGTATAAGATCCAATCCACCACCACCCCAAAACAGGCTGATGGCATGCCCACCTGGCACCTAGCATGCACAAGGCTCTAGAATCAGTCCACCCCTTTCAGGAGGGAGGGAAGAAAGAGGGGAGAGAAAATCCAGGCTTGTTTCAGACCCAACTCCACAACCCAGGTCTCCTCTTCCCCCTCCTCCTCCTCTTTCTCTTCCTCCTCTTCCTCCTCCTCCTCCTCTTCCTCTTCCCCCTCCTCCTCCTCCTCCTCTTCCTCCTCCTCTTCCTCCTCCTCCTCC